GCTCCGGCCTGAGCTGACAGGAGCAGCTCTGCGGTCTGCATCCGACAGAGATGCAGACCGGGTACCTGCTCCCGCAAGTCGGGCACGGTCCATGACCGTGTGCCCGACTTGTCAGCTGGCTGCGGACCACATAGTACTGGCTCACGGGCCGGAGTTGGGCCGCGGGCCGGTACTTTGAGACCCCTGTTGTAAAGGAATATTGTGAGTCATGCCCAGAGTGACAGTATTCTGTACCCATGCCCCATTGTCACAGCCCATGTGTGCCTTTGTCAATCATTCAAGTACTATTTTGAAAAACTGGCATGGATCTGGTAGATCCAGTTGTAAAATCTGTCTGCGGGAATCAGCATATACTGGTAACACTGGACTATACCACCCAATATCCTGAAGCCAAAACAATCGCTAAAGAACTTGTTCAGGTATTCAGTTGCTTGGGCATTCCAAAGGAAGTATAACTAGCGTGTTCTAAGGAACTGTTTAAGATCTCAAACCCCCGTCTACACCCTGATGGTCTGGTGGAAAAATTAAATAAGACCCTCAAGAGTATTTTAAGTAAAGTGGTAGACAGAGGTGGGGGAAAATTGAGATTTCTTATTGCCCTATGTACAGCTGTGCTGGAACTCCTGTGACAGGTGAGAGAGGAAGAGCAATCTCACTCTGGAGGGGGAGAAGGCTGCACACTGTTTATATGTGAAATTGGCGACATCGCCGATTTCACATGTAAACAAAAAATCGTCTGCCTCACTCTACATTCAGTCCTGCTTGTACAAAGCAGGACTGAATGTAGAGAGGGCAACTTCCCCACAAGGACACCGCTGCCGCCCCTCTGCATCCCTGCCGCCCCGGGCCTCAGTGGCCTTGTGGGGAATCCGGGCCTGCCTATTTACAGTACAAGAATATATATTGCATGGGGATTACTTCAACATGTGTTTCCGATTGTCAACAACATGCATAATATTTTGTGCGAAGAGCTAGAATCTACATGCACACATGCAAAAGCAAAATAAATGATACCATTTCTGCCACATGTGAATGAATAGACAAAACAAATAGACATTCAATACTGTTTTTTCAGACTGAAAAGTTTACAACACAGCTGATACTCTCCTGACCACTGCCGTGTGGAGCAGATGTCACTGCCGTGACATCCGTGTCCGTACAATTTTTTCCTCCATCACAATGCAATTACCGGACCCCAGGTCTGTCTATGGGGAATCGGATGTAAATGGAGTGTCCGTTTACATCAGATTTCCCCCAATCCTGCATAATCAGGTCAGTTGAAAAAGATTTCTGATCTGTTTGTTTTTCCAGAAATATTTGGGTTAACCAACATAGACTTACATTGGGCATCCGATCGGGTCCGCCTAAAAAACTGACAGGCAGACCCGATCGGACTGCCCGTGTGAAAGGTGCCTTAAAGGAGAACTATGAGGTTAGTGAAAATCACTCATCCTCATAGTTCGAGCCGAAGTGTGACAATGAAACTGTCACACGTCGGCTCAATAGATCAGGAAGTGAGCGAACACATACCGGCGCTCGCTTACTTCTCGATCATCTCCCGGCAGAGAGCCGTGACTGTCAGTCATGGCTCCCTGCAGGGATTTCCCCCTCCCCTCCAGCGCTGACTGGCGGAACGGACGGGGGAGGGTACAGCTGGCTCTGCCTCTAGATAGGCAGAGCCCGCTGTCACTCACGCAGCAGGGTGGCTCTAGACCAGGGGTCCTCAAACTTTTTAAACATGGGGCCAGTTCACTGTCCCTCAGACATTGCTGGGGGCCAGATCATAGTTTGAAAAACAGGGGGGGGCGTGGCTGTGGTGCCGCACCGTCACGCCCCCTCCCGTCCCAGAACAAAGGGGGAACGTTAGTGAGCAATTGCTGTGCGTTCCAGCAGCTGCTGCTCTGGTGTGAATAAGCCCTTACTTAGAGGGTATATATAAATATTTTTAACAACTTCTTTAACCACTTCAAGACCAGGTGTTTAGACCCCCTTCCTGGCCAGGCCATTTTTCAGTATTCAGCGCTGCGGTACTTTGACTGACGTTTATTCCGTCATGCAGCGCTGTACTGAAATGAATTTTATACCATTTTTTGGGGACAGATAGAGCTTTATTTCAGTGGTATTTAATCACCACTGGGGTTTTTATTTTTTACTATAATTAGGAAAAATTACAGAAAATTTGGGGGAAAAAAAGGTTTTTTTTAACATTATGTTAGGAAACATTTATTATTACCCAGTTTTTTGGTAAAATATAAAAGATCGGGTCACGTCGGGTAAATAGACACCAAACATGTCAAGCTTTAAAATTGCGCGCACCCGCGAAATCGCAGAAAATTACCGTACCCAAAATGTGTCTGAGCGGACGTCTAAAGACGCCCGCTCAGATCTAGAGAGCTCGGGCCGGCCGTTTTTTTACTACGGCCGGCCCGGAGGTGGTTAATAAACAAAAAATTTTTTTTTATACAATTCATTTTTCTTAGCCTGGAACATGTACTAGCATGATTTCTTATTAATTTTCTACAGCTCAAGTATTTGTTATTTATTACAATGAATGGGTATGTAGACTGCCCTGTCTTACATCTCTACAGTGGCGTGCAGCTTTGGGAGAGGCAAGGAGACTACATCACTTCATATCCCAGTTCTCTTCTTATTGGCCGCCCTACAAGAGCCTGTGCTGGCCTGCACCCAAAGTTGGAGTGGCGCAGCCGCACTGGCATTACGCTGCTAAAGGAACCAAGGCATTTGGTTTGCCTCGGCATACGCCCTGAGATGAAAGGGCGCAGCCGTGCAGGCCGAACACAGAAGCTGCCAAGCTTCCGGAACAGACTGTGTGTCTTCCCGGACCCCGCGGCCGGGCGATTTATTGCTGTATGTTGTTTAGGGCGGCTGGGCCTATTTTAACTGCTTGAAGGCCAGGTGTTAGATCCCCTTCCCATCCAGGCCATTTTTCAGTATTCAGCGATGCGGTACTTTGATTGACATTTATTCCGTCATGCAGCGCTGTACTGAAATGAATTTTATACCATTTTTTGGGGACACATAGAGCTTTCTTTTGGTGTTGTTTAATCACCACTGCGGGTTTTATTTTTTTACTATATTTTGGGAAAATTACAGAACATTTAAAAAAAAAAAAAGTTTTTGTTACATTGTGTTAGGAAACATTTATTATCACCCAATTTTTTGGTAAAACATAAAAGACGGGGTCACGTCGGGTAAATAGACACTAAACACGTCAAGCTTAAAAATTGCGCACAAAATTGACCATAGGCGACGCTTTAAAAACTTTTATAGCTCATCAGTTTAGTGTTATCAGTGATTGATGGCCCGGCTCTATAGCTGGCGGATCGCTTGTATGTTAACAGGCATCGCTGCCTGTTTCTTAAATTGACTGGATTTCCCGTTCGCGCGCGCAAGTGGGCGTGGCTTATCTAGAGAGCTCCCAGCCGCCCGTTTTTCTAAAACGGCCGGCCGGTGGTAGTAAAGGTAGGGAGGCTGAGGCTGGAGAATTTTTGTGTTTTGTATTGTAGTAAAGGTAGGGGCCTGCAGCCCCCCGGCCTTAACACCCGAACGGGCCGGGCCAAGGACCCTGGCGGGCTGGATGTGGCCCGCGGGCCATAGTTTGAGGACCCCTGCTCTAGACAGTAATGTCGGGATCCGTCCCGGCTGCGGCGGTAGTTTGAGGACCCCTGCTCTAGACAGTAATGTCGGGATCCGTCCCGGCTGCGGCGGTCACGGGAGGACGCTAGTAAATGTCCTCCCATGACCTTTAAGAGAACTATGGGGAAAAACACTTACCCCATAGTTCTCTTTAAAGCCTCATTCACACAGACATGCAGCATGCATGTCCAAGCAGAAAACTGCACCCTGGAATGACAGCTGGTGCATGTATCCCTATGACAAGATGCAGCTGAAGGCTGCTACATGCTGACCTGAAGTGACAGCGTGTCAGAGAGGAGAGCAGGTACAAACACTCAGCGATCAGTGATCGCTGAATGTTTGTAGATAATAGAGGACATGGTATGTTGACTGGTATGAGGACTGAGTGTAAGGCTCCCTCACATTGGTGGTCAGTGAAAGGCTCCCTCACATTGGTGGTCAGTGAAAGGCTTCCTCACATTGGTGGACAGTGAAAGGCTCCATCACATTGGTGGTCAGTGTAAGGCTTTCTCACATTGGTGGTCAGTGTAAGGCTCTCTCACATTGGTGGTCAGTGTAAGGCTCCCTCACATTGCTGGTCAGTGTAAGGCTCTCTCACATTGGTGGTCAGTGTAAGGCTTTCTCACATTGGTGGTCAGTGTAAGGCTCTCTCACATTGGTGGTCAGTGTAAGGCTTTCTCACATTGGTGGTCAGTGTAAGGCTCTCTCACATTGGTGGTCAGTGCAAGGCTCTCTCACATTGGTGGCCAGTGTAAGGCTCCCTTACATTGATGGTCAGTGAAAGGCCCCTTTACACTAAAGGTTTCCTTACACTGGTGACAGTGAAAGGTCCCCTTACATTATTATTATTTATGTGAGAGGCAGAGATTGCTCATTGGTCAAAGAACCCCTAGACACCTCTGGAGGAACCCTTGCGCTCCACAGAAGCCTGGATGATAAAAAGTCTGGCATGAGCAATAATCCAGCCGAAGCCTCTATACACAACATGAAGCACAAGCTGGGGGAGCTCGAGATGTCAAAATGAATCTTACTCTTTATTTAAAAGGAACCAACCTATAAGCAGTGTTGCAACTATTAAAGGGATGCAAATGATAAACTGCAGACACGTACAGAAAAGAGACAGAAAATAAGGACCCTGCCCAAAGGAGCTTACAATCATCCCAGGTACCAGGGCGAGCCTTTGGGTGTGAAGAACACCTCTACAGCAACAGTTTGTAATGGCATCTCCAGCCCCGTGATGCAATGTCCACAATCCCAGTCCTGACAGATGTGATGAAGCCTGAGTCAGGCAGACCTGAGAGAAGTGTTCCAGGGTGATGTGGGTGCAGCACCCTGGTGTCAGGGTAGGGCTTGCAATGAATAGAGGGTGCAGACAATCATCCCCAGCCTGCCAGCAGATCTCCAGTCCCTCCAGCTCCTCCTCCGCGATCACCGCCTCCCTCTCCTTGCCTGCTTGAAGGAGCTTTTCCCAATCTGCCAGGTCAGCCTCGGCTTCCTTGTGCCGTCATCCCCAGAGCTGAGACGGGCTCACAGCTGCCCTCCTTTCACCCAGCACCCTCCACCGGCCGATCCGATCCTGCTGCACCGCTGTACAGGCAAGATGGCGGGGTCCCTGGTAGAGAGGGAGACGATGGTAAGTGATCAGACTGAAGGTTCAGACCGGGGGGGACAAAGCTGGCAGGACGAGGTAGTCATCGTGGTCAGGGGGAGGGGCCCGGTTTGGCAGGATTAGTGCCCGTGTCACCCCCTCCAATGTCCTGCCATGTATCACCATCCACGTCCTCAGAGATACCTGTGGAAGAATGGGGCATTCCTCAGCTCAGGACATGGCATTGTGACATGGCAATGTTTACCATCATATACATTGATTTAGTTACCAGCATGTGCAGGGGGGGTCATCCATTGATATATTTACCATCATATACAGGGGAGGGCACCCATTGATTTATTTGCCATCATATACAGGGGGCCATCCAATTGATTTATTTACCATCATGCATAGGGATCATCCATTAATTTATTTACCATCATGCATAGAGTGGTCATCCATTTATTTATTTACCATCATGTTCAGGGTGTCATCCACTGATTTATTTACCATAATGGACAAGGGGGTCACCCATTGATTTATTTACCAGCATGGACAGGGTGTTCACCCATTGATTTATTTACCAGCATGGACAGAGGGGGCATCCATTGCTTTATTTACCAGCATGGACATCGGGGCATCCATTGATTTATTTACCAGCATGGACAAGGGGGTCAACCATTGATTTATTTACCAGGATGGGCAGGGTGTTCACCCATTGATTTATTTACCAGCATGGACAGGGTGTTCACCCATTGATTTATTTACCAGCATGGACATCGGGGCATCCATTGGTTTATTTACCATCATGTACAGGGTGGTCACCCATTGATTTATTTACCAGCACGGACAAGGGGGTCACCCATTGATTCATTTACCATCATGGACAGGGGGATCATACATTGATTTATTTACCAGCATGTACAGGGTGGTCACCCATTGATTTATTTACCATCATGGACAGGGTGGTCACCCATTGATTTATTTACCAGCATGTACAGGGTGGTCACCCATTGATTTATTTACCATCATGGACAGGGGGGTCACCCATTGATTTATTTACCAGCATGGACAGGGGGGTCACCCATTGATTTATTTACCAGCATGAGCAGGGGGGCAGGCATTCATTTATTTACCAGCATGGGCAGGGGGGTCATGCATTCATTTATTTACCAGCATGGGCAGGGGGGCATGCATTAATTTATTTACCAGCATGGGCAGGGGGGTCATGCATTCATTTATTTACCATCATGTACAGGAGGGCCATTCATTGCTGATGATCATCAAGACACTCTAATTATCACCAGTGACAGCTCTCATGTCTGTCTCTGTATATAGATGGGTAGCTGTCATTTATACAGGAAGTCTCTGTTTGTTTTTATTCATAGTGGTTCATGTGTGTTCAGAAGCCAACTCTACAACTATAGAAATGTGTACAAATAAACCTGGCCATTCAAATACACTGCGACCCATAGTAGTCATTCCTCATTCATCTTTGCTTGAATAAGCTCAATAGTATTAATTATACATGAACACCTTCCCACCTGTTGGACTCATATATGTAGGTGGGCTTTAATGCCAGGCTGCTGTATATATGTATATGGATATTCTGTGCCAGCACAGTGACGGAGCTGTACTGATCGCTATGGGTTATTGTTTACGATCGGGAGATAGTGGGATGGGTTATTGATTATGTGACCACTGCGATGGAAATCATATGGTCAGGAAGAACCCCTTTGACTTACGGCATGATGAACTTATTAGAGGGCCGGCAGGAGCTGGCAGCGAGGGGTAAAACTGGACATACAGGGCTACTCACTAAAGGGTGAAGAGTTTGGAGAACTCTCCAATTCAGCTCACTTTCCAGCTATGTTGTCCTAGAGTGTTCAATTCTCCTGCCTTCTCCACTCTCTTTACCCTTTAGTGAATAGGCCTGTTAGTCTCCATTCACACCCAGGTGTTTTGTCTCTCAAAGCTAAGCGTGACAACATGCTCAAGACAAGTAGTCCCATTCATTTCCCTGTTCACACCTGAGCGTTTTGTCACAAGTAGAAAAACACCTGTCACTGTAAAAAGTACATGATCTACTTTTTTGGCAGATTACAGAACTTTTTGGTCCCACAGACTTCAGTGGGCAACCTTGTGTGACAAAACACGTGACAAAATTCTCAGGTGTGAACAGGGGCCATAGAAATGAATAGGATTCCTTGTCTTGAGCGTTTTGTCGTGCCTAGGCTTTGAGTGACAAAATGCCTAGGTGTCAAAAGAGCAGTGTTAGCACTTCTGCCTTGCAGCACTGAGGGTCCCCGGTTCATATCCCGGTTTGGACTCTATATACAAGGAGTTTGCATGTTCTCCCTGTGTTTGTGTGGGTTTCGTCTGGTTACTCCGGTTTCCGCCCACACTCCACAGACATGCTGGAATGTTAATTGGCTCCTGTCTACATTGGCCCTGTATGCATGTGCAATAGAGACCTTAGATTGTAAGCTCCTGGAAGGCAGGGACTGATGTGAATACCTGTATTAATAATAAATAAATAACTATAGCCATAGCAGACCGTGCAAGTTCTATGGGGCCCAGGAGTACTGGGGGGCCAGCTAAGTGTGGTTGCACAGTGATCAGATTTATGCAGTCAAGAAAAGCATTTGGCAAATACGTATGGATAAAATAAATGTGTATGAAGTTTGGGACCTCTTTACGATTGCTATCTAAGCTAATAGTATTCTGTATTATCAGAGCAATTGGCTTGGAGCTGATATTAGACAGGGAGGGGGTGGGTTGTAGTTTTGCTATAGGTCTCCAGCACACATTGTTACGCCCCTGAACAAAACCTTGCGGGCCCATTGACAAGTTTCTGTTCATGTTACACAAAATAAAACAAGATCCCCAAAACAGAAGAAAGAATGGAGATCATTTTGAATTGCTATTCTTCAGCACTGTGTATTGCGTTGCATGTTCTGTCAATTGTTAATGTGTATTGTGTTGCATGTTGTGTCATGCGTTAATGTGCGTTGTGTAAGGCTCATTTTTAATGGGCTGCCAATGCACAAGAATGGACACAAAAAGGATGTGCAGCAGTTTTTCCTAAGCAGCGCACAGTAGGGAATTACCATGCATTGTTGTACGCTGCATTGGAACTGCGCCTCCTTAATGCGTTGCAGTTCCATTTAAAATACACAGCACCGTAATGTGCTTTAAGCTAACGCGCGTATTACCACACTGCAGAGCAAAACTGTATTTTGGCCCTTAGGGAATAAAAACAGACACATAGTAACCACCATAATAATGTGTCTGCTCTTATCTCCAGGTATAGGGCACATGTGGATTGGCAGTGTCATGTTGGGGACAGGAATGTAGTAGATCCCATCGCACTCCTGACCGGATAAAGCCCAAAAGAAAAACTGGGGGGTGCCAAAAGTGACCGCGGATGCCTCCGCACATCGACTGCAAATACCATAAAGTTGCTCGCACTCCGTTTGTAGATAGCAGTCAATCTCCTTTATTGACTGAACATAATGTCACATAAAGCGAAGATTCGGGACTGGTATTTGCATGTTGGGGACAGGGGGATGGGGTTCTTGGTATTGTGTAGCTCTGTGCAAGTGTTTACATTCCCAGCAAGCCAAACAAGCATAGGAATTTAGGGGATTTAATTGGCGGGATTGAACCCTTATGGTGCCCACCGTTCAGGCAGGCTTGTGTACAAGGACCTTGTTTACCTGCATTTGATTGCCATTTGAAAAGCACATGAAATGCAGGCCAGCAGATTCCCATATACCTCAATGGCCTGTGTGGATGACACTTCTGCTTACATGGACTTCTCTGGACGCAACGTTTTCTGTTTGCATTGTGGGCAAAGCCAATTAAACGCAGGTTTTTATGTTCAAACGCATGTCTTTGAACAGTGCTGCGTTCTAATGCAATCTTTTTTCCCCCCTCTCCAGGGTCACTTTAAGGGTAATGCCACACAAGCGGTTTTGTAGTAGTGATTTGTGTCGGCCTCAGAATCAGTCCGGTTACTGTTTTTGTTGCCAGGAATGATTTAACTGTCAGTGAATAGTAGCTGAGCGATTTACTTCTTGCAGCGTTTGGAGCAAGGCCAGGGTCAATACCTACTTATGTTATCCAATGAAGCTTCTACTGATCATGGCGCACCAGCTATGAATTGCCTCACAAAAAATTCAGATATGAAGCCACTTCAAAGTGGTTGGAGTAAAATGGCCCATACCATGCATGTACCACAGATGGTACCAGGCCAGCAGCACTCGTGTATACTATGGGGTTCATGGCCTGACACGTGTATATATTACAGCATGCATTTATCTATTTACATTGTAAGATGGTAAAATGAGTGAGCTCAAACCTTTTTTTTCTCTTGGTAAATTAATACATTTGATGGAATATGGGCACGTGCCAAAATTAGTTTTAGTAAATTATCATTATCATATATACACGCATACCCTGCATATTCATCTGTGTGTGTATAATGTATGCAGGTCATAGGCTGTGAACACTGACAGTTGTCTGGCAGCACTCAGGAGGAAGAGTTGGCTGAAAATTTCCACTACAGTCTACCTTTTTTCTGCAGACTTCCACAATGGTTCTTATCGCAAACCCGGAGGGCCAATTCACACCTCCACTTCATGGTAATGTGTACATGCAATGTGGTGCCATTCATTTTGACTACACCTGCGTTGTTGTGCACCGCAATGCAGGGTAGTGCTTTGCTGTTTGTAAAACAGGGTAGTGAGTTTTGGACAGACTGTGAAACATTGTGAATGTGCTGCCCTAACGCATTGCTTTTTAACGTGCAACATAACACGAGTTGTGTCAAAGAGTTAAATGGGCCATCAATGTTTCCCAGTTGAATAGGAACTGAAGTCTGAAAGCTGTGTCAAAAAAGGCAGGCAGAGGCCAAATGACTAGCTATCCACTTGTATTGCCTGTGGCTAATCTTTCCTCATTACTGACTAACCGTGCCTTGTTCTGCACAGTGTCTCTGTGTGGAGGTGGCCAGCTTGGTAGATGCAGGGCTTTGCTTCTAC